CCAAGATTGTGCAAAATTGAAATCTGTAATATTTCCAACTCTTTCCAATTTGAATAAATATTAAACTAACATCACTTTCATCAGCTCCAACACAAACAGAATAAATATTCATGAGTGTACCCACATAAATATAGCAAACATGACATGCATAATTCAAAAGATAAAATAAAATGGAAAAAAAAAACAACTGTAATTTAGTATCAAAGAGGTAGAAAGATAAAGGTTATTAGTACTGAGCTGGCATCTCGGCTTCAGTTCATCTCCCTCCGCGACAACCGTAGCTTCCCTGTGAATTTTCTATAAATTATTTTATGGTAATTTTCTCTGAGGAACTTTCATTTTATTTTTATGAATTTAGGGGCAGTACGAGATTGGCGGCAGGGTCTCATATTTTTACAGTTTAAACGGCTTTCATCTAAATGTTAACTTCTATGCTAAAAGTTTATTTTCTTTCGCTTTTCGCATGTGGATCTCTCATCCGGCTCCTTGCTTCCATGTAAGCTTTGATCTTCAAATGTTAATTGCAATGTCAATCGTTCTCTTCTTTCTTCTTAATTCCTGTTCTTTTATTGCTCTCTGCTTAATAATGTTTTCGTTCTCATATATTCTCACACACTTTGCATCTTAATGGCTTTATTACGTTTCTTTGTTTTGTTTTCTTTGTTTTGATTTCTTTGTTTTGTTTTCTTTGTTTTGTTTCTGGTTTTGAACGACTTGAATGAATCTTATGGTGAGTGCGGAGTTTTCATAGATTAAGATCCCGTTCGACTTCCATTCGAAGATCTGGCGTCAAGCTGAGGTAACGGGCGGTCAGTGGAAGAGCAGTCCAAGCGAATGGCCAATGCAAGTAACCATATAAGCAGATGGCCTTCTCGCATTTCACAGCACTTATGTGAATACTGAATTTTCCTACTAGTATACATGTCACATAAATTTGGTCTTCTTCTTCTTCTTCTTCTATGTGCTGTGTCTCTTCAGGATATGCGCGGTTATAGCTCTCCACAACTTCACATTTCAGGGATTCTCAGTAATATTTGTTTTATTTCTATCATATGCTTTAATCCTAGTTATAACAAAAAGCTCATCAGGTTGATTATGCTTGGAAGCTCTCGATCTTTTATATGCAATATATCCAGTAAGGGTAAAATTTTCTGAACACTTTACTCATTATGTGCCCCATAAGCAGCAATTGTATTTTTCTGATTCTAAATATGGATCTTTTTCCAGTCGAATCCAGTTACATTCACTTACGTGCCAATACCATTGGGAAAGGTGTTAATCCTCTTCTTCTCCCTCCAGCTATGGGTTCTATAGCCTTGGATGGCAACTGTGCTAAGAGAAGGACAACTCTGAATTCAAAATCTGCGGAGAGTCGTTTGGGTACCTTGTGGCACGTAGTGCACCAAGTCTTTGTATTCGGCCCTTCAAAAAGTGTGGTTGGCTCTGCACAAAGCCTTCACCACTATAATCAAATCTCATGTGCTGTTGTCGGGCTGTTGATTTCCGAGGAACTGATCTGCCTCATACGTCGAATTCGACAGGGAGAATCGAATTCGACAGGGGAATCGAATATATATATATATATATATATATATATATATATATATATATATATATATATATATATATGTAGGATTATTTTAACATCAAGTTTTAAATATGTATATGAGGTTACAATTTTTTTATGAAAAATTTATTACTATGACGGCAAAAAATGGTTTTTAATTTCACTGATTTAGTAAACTTTTATTTTATATATAAACCTAGTAATATATTGTTTCTCATGTAAGTACAAAGGACATGGGTCATTCAAATGCTTACATCTTATGGCATTTCATATTAATTTTATTTTACTATAGGTGTTTTTATTGGATTCTTTTAAGTGCGTGTAGTACTAATTAAAAGAAGTTTAGTTTAGAATTCATTTTATTTAACTACAATTTTAATTACAATTTTAAAATTACAACTTTAAAATATTTTCATTGTTGGTTTTAATAGATTATATTACTATATAACAGAAGGAAAAATTACTCATAGTAAGTAAAATTATTTTTCCATATCAAAATATATGTAAATTACGATGATTTTTAAGTAATATTTATTGATTAAACAATAAGTCAGTCATTTCTCAGATTTATTAAACTTTATTTATTAATTAATTCATTTATTTATTTTAAACATATATAACCTAAGTAATAAAGTTTCATATGTATGTACAAAGAACATGGGTCGTACACTACCCTACATCATCTAGCTTTTGTTATAATTTCATTTTTCAGTAGGTGTTTTATTGGATGAGTAATAAAAAAATGTAACCTCATATACATATTTAAAACTTGATGTTAAAATAATCCTACATAATATAGTGGATTCTAATACATTTAACTGTTCTTAAAAAGAATATAGTGTAATAAAAATTAAAAATAAGAATATTTCAAATCGTAATTAAATAAAAAGTATTATGATCTGAACACCCCCGAAAATCTTTATTTATAAATGGAAAAAAAATGCCGTAAGAATTTTTTTTACCGTTAACAATAATTAAAAAAAAAATCCAGACGACATGCATTCAACGGATGTCAATTTCCATTGAAAAATACATCCCTAACCCCTTACCAAATTGTAGATAATAATTGATACAATGATACTGACATAAAGAAAACCTAGACATCCCTTGTCCAATTGAAGTAGAATATTCTGTAACCATGGAAACGTGATTTTAGCTGTGTATTTAAAACCCATTAATTTTTTTAAAGTTACTCCAAAATTCGCTTAAGGATGAAATGGAACTAATGCTCTTAATTTAATTGCAAAATTAAATTCGGGGCTTTAGCTTCTATTTTTGAAACATGGTTAGAACTGTGTAGCGGAAAAACATATTTTAAATCAATTAATTTATAATATATATATATATATATATATATATATATATATATATATATATATATATATATATATATATATATATAAATATATATATATATAATATATATATATATATATATATATATATATATATATATATATATATATATATATATATATATATATATATATACGAACGTAATCTTAAGTGGTTGAAATGGTTGCTACTTCCCATCTCCCCCGTCGTGTGTCGATAAACAGTAGAAAATTACAATTTTCAATTCTTTTAAGCCGTTGGTTTCTTTGTTTTTCTCACTGTTTATGTGTCGGCCTAGATATATTGACGTGATGAAATATGTCTCTGGCATAGTGATGCCGCCAAATCTTAGAGAATAAAGCAGATTCAGTGGGCGGACGTTGGGGATGGAAGACACGGGTTGTTGTATTTGGCTGGCCTAATGAAAAACTTCTTGCCGCAAATCGTAAATATTCGTGCACTGATCCCGGCCGCAGGACATAACAGTCCAGGGACCAACGCCAAAAACTAACATTGATGATATCACATCTTTGTGTATTGTTTGCTCAGGCTAGGTACAAACAGACAGTGAAAACGACACACGGTGAGATATTGGTTAGGATTCAAAATCATGATTATAATTGAAAGGAAAGTATTAGGATGATATATAGCTACTTTTTTGTTTAGTATCATTATTTTTCAAAGTATAAAATACGATTACATTTTTATTAAACAATATATTAAGGTATAATGGGCTAATTTGTAGATTAGGTCCCGCCTTCAAATGCAATTAAGAATTTCCCGAATACTTACATTTAGGTGTAAATGTACATGTTTCATTCGAAAATGACTTGATAAATTTGATGAAATCTACCGTGTTGGAGTTCCCAACCGTAAAAGTTTTGAATCATTCGCGTCGCTGGCGGCAGCCATTACTGGCGTTGTCTGCATACATTCGCTGCGGAAAGCTAAGCGCCGAAGAACGTAGTTAACGGCTTTATTTTTACTGATCTTACTTGTCTGAACTTAAAGCAATTACTGCACAAGAGAACTATATTGCGTGCGTAATAATCAAGACAAGTAAATATTCCACTTCTAGTTGATTCACAGCATATGTATGAAAACAATGCCCGTAATGGCTGCCGCAACGCGAATGAATCCAAATTTTTACTGTCGATAACTCCAAAACGGTAGATTTTAGGAAATTTATTTTGCGTGAGAGATTGAGTGACTGAGAAGATAAAGTTTTGGATACCAGCGAGGTCAGTGACAGAGATTTTGAGCTTCTTGGTATCGTGGGCATTAAATTCATCGACGACGAATATGTTTACAAATGGGTGTAGGGAGATGGCCTTGTCTAGATTAGCGGAAATACTATCTAGCACGCAACAGTCTTAAGAAGAAGGGGAATGGTAGAGAAAGAAGAGATGGCCGGCTGAGTTAAGTAGAGAGAGACGGAGACACATGTAAGAATAGTCTGGAGATGAGAGAGAGAGAGAGAGAGGGAGAGAGAGAGAAAGAGAGAGATATGTTTGTGAGCATAAAGTCCCATGACATACAGATGGAAATTAGAGTCTTTTCGAAGATGTAGAAGATAATCAGGAATTGTGAAGTCAGAGGAGGGGACTGAAGAGTTAAATTTAGTTTCGCAAAGAGCTAAGATGTCCATAGACTTTTCGAAGAGTAACGATTTTTTTTAAAGTTATCCAGCGATGACGGAAAACTATAATGTGAAAAGTAAGAATAGGAATCGAATCTGTATCCTATACGGCGCCGTCATTTACCTTTGACGTGCTCGTAAACGACCGAGCCACAGAGAATCGTTCGATTAGCAAGGTCGAATTTACATGGAAGATTGAAGTTTAAAGGCATTAAATGTGACCTTGCTAATCGAACGATTCTCTATGAGTCGATCGGTTAAGAGCACGTCAGACTAAATGTCGGTTCCGTATAAGCTACAGGTTCGAATCCTGTCGGAGGACGAATATTTTCTATGAAGATTTCTCGGAAGCATTTACTTAAATATTTGTATCTATAAAAAGAATGTATAAATATAAAAATGTCTTTAAAATAATTGTCGAAATTTGTCCATTTCATAATATTTTTTTTTCCGTATCACATTGAAATATCTGTTCTCGTTCGATCACTGAAGTTAAGCAACGTCGAGAATGGTCAGTACCTAGATTGGTGACCACTTGGGAATACCAGGTGCTGTAAGCTTGGATGTGCGGGAGGTGTACTGGATTTCGGCTCGGATTCCTGTCGCATTCGTGATATTCACTTAAGCGCAATTACCCCTGGTAAAATTAGGAATCCACCTCGACTCCACCCGCAGCTGTTAGTTAAATAACAGTATTTGTTCAGTAAATTAGTATCCCCCTCCCCCCAAAAGAATAAAATTCAAGAATATATTCTGGTTTTAAATAACCTGCAAAAGGTTGATAAGCCGTAAAAATAAATCAATCAATCCATATACACAGGGTGAACTCCGACTTTCTGTCGTATTTCACTTCTGAGGATGAAATTCCACTAAGAGAGATTCTTCCCCCTGAAACCCTGCTCTGTGGTACATAATCCCGAGACGATGCTTTCCAGATAACTACAATTATAATCTATTTATGTCTAAGGTATATCCGTTATCTAGGCTCATAAATTTCAATTCTTACGCCAATAAAACAACCTCGCCCATATATCAGGAAAAATGGCGTAACAAATTATTTCGATTCTCTTACATTAGCGAACAGTTTTCGGCTTGAGTTTCATTAAGCTAGTTTGACAAGATGCTACTGAATTCATTCCTGATGAGAACAGTCTTTGTGCCAAACGTGGTTAAGCATAATAAATATACTATAAACATCCGTTTCTTTCGCAAGCTCCTCGTTACAAAATAAATATATTTATCGTATAGACACGCTATATGCACTCAGTTAATAGAACCGTGTAAGATTGAATATTTTGAATCCTCTTTACAGAAGGCTTTTCATTTAGAATTTGATTTCCTGTTTAAATTCATTAGATTTATTTCAGATCTTTATTTGCCAATTTATAATCGACATACGAAAGCCATCATGCCGAACGCGGGAAAAATAGATTTGCTTAAGAAGGATAACACTGAAGTCTTAAAATCTGCAAGTCGTTATAAATGAGGAACATATATTTATGTAGTCGACATTTACCTGAAATCATAAATTTTGGAACTTGTTTAGAATTTTAAAGACCTGATCATGAAAAAAGGCGGAATATTTCCAGCCCTTTATAAAACATATTAAATATACATATAGATATATATAAGAAAGAAAGATAAAAAAAAGCAAATATTGTTTGTAAGGAAAGGCAAGAAAAGAAAAAATGAGTGTGGGTGAAAAAAGGGAATTTATGACAAAGAAAGACTGAATTAAACATATAAATGATAGATGCAACAAAGAATGCAGTTCAATGCAAAGATTGAGTGAAAGAAACAAATAATAAGATAAACAAAGAAATTAAAGTCAAAAATGTGATTTAGGAAGAGAAAGAAATAAAGATAAAAAAATAAAGAAAAAAGGAAGGGAATGAAGAAGGAAAGCAAGAAAACAGGAAAGAAAGAAGGGAATAAATTAAAGGCAAAAATAGTTTTAAAGAAAGAAAGAAAGAAAGAAAGAAAGAAAGAAAGAACGAACGAATGAAAGAAAGAAATAAAGAAAAAGAACAAATAGCCAAAATTAAAGAAAGCGAATACGATAAAACATAAAGAATTAAAACTAGAAACAGATATATCTATAGTTTGGTGTAATGGATATCGTCTCCGAATTCGAAGTCGGAGAGCTGAGTTCGAATTCCAGTCGCGATAGTTATATTTATTTATGCACATACCCATGGGGAAATATGTAAATCCATCTCTTCCTTCAAGCTATGGGTTAAATTGAATTAGCTAACAACAAGTCTTTCTCAGAAAAAAATGGCAACCTACTCCATGGTTAGTAAAATATCGACAGAAACATGATCGCCCAAGAGTTTGTAATTGGAGGAACTCAATTTTCCGTCTGAATTGGAATTTCGGCCAAAATCGGTATTTTAGACGAAATTGAACTCATAGCGCGAATCCGAGTTAAAGTGATATTTTGAAATTCCATAAAAGTTAATTGAGGATTTAGGGATTTAAACTATTTCTTTTTAAAATCATCATTAGAAGTCACACAGAGTGTTTTTTGAAGCTGAATTGAATATACAGCAAATTCCTAAGAGTTACCAATAGGTAAAAGGAGTCATAACGTGTAATAAAAGAATGAATGAAGGAGGACGCAGAGTAGAAAAGTAGGAAAGAAAAATGACTTATGAAAAATCAAATACAGTGAATAACACGAGAAAAATATATATATATATATAATCATCCCAGAGAAGCTGTAACTAGACGCCAGACTATATATATATATATATATATATATATATATATATATATATATATATATATATATATATATATATATATATATATATATATATATATATATATATATATATATATATATATATATATATATATATATATATATATATATATATATATATATATATATTAAATTGAGTCGCTGGCGTATTTCCGCTTAGAGTAAAACGTTAAAATTCCCATCCGTGAAGATGGCCTGGTGATAAGTCGGCTTTCGATCCTGGTTTGAAGCAGTCGGGCGTCTAGTTACAGCGAATGTCTCTGTGGATGATTATATATATATATATTTTTTTTCTCGTGTTATTCACTGTATTTGATTTTTTCATAAGTCATTTTTCTTTCCTACTTTTCTACTTCACCTTACATATTTCTTTTTTTCCTCCTCCTTCATTCATTCTTTACCTTACACGTTATGACTCCTTTTACTCTATTGGTACTTCTTAATTTATTTGCTGTATATTCAATGCTAGCTTCAAAAAAACGCACTCTGTGCGGACTTCTAACTTAGCATCTGCGTAGGTGTTATTGGGCCTCTCTCCTATAACTAAAGGAACTACTGATTCAGCTTAGAAAATAGCAATGATGATTTTAAAGAAATAGTTTAAATCCCTCAATTAACTTCATGGAATTTCAAAATATCTTTTTATATATATATATATATATATATATATATATATATATATATATATATATATATATGGTTGTGTCTAGCATGAAACAACGTGTCGCTCTTAACAATCAATGTTAACTTTTATATATACACACGCTCTGTCTCTGATATTGAGCACTCATAAATATAACACAATTTAAGACTATATTTCTCCATATATATATATATATATATATATATAGCTATTTACAATAGTCTCGGAAAAATCTTCGGTTTCTTGATTTGCTAATGGTCAAATCAATGTAGAAGGAAAAAGAAGGTTTTAAAAAAAGAAAAAATCTAGGAACATGAACGTCTGTCGAAAATAATCGTACAGCATACAGGTCCGAAGCCCAAAAAAAAAAAAAAACCGATACGAGTAATCAACTAACTTAAAAGTGTTCCATACTAAAGTAGAGCAGACCTAGTCAAACCTAGAGAGCCAGACAAACCTACCAAGGTTTTTCCTAAGCTTTCCCTGACGATCCACTTTGTGTGGCTCTCTAGGTTTGGCTATATATATATATATATATATATAATCGACTCTCCCGTCGCGTTCGACGTATGAGTGTCAGGCCGATAAGTCCCCAGGAAACCGACATCCCGACACCGGCACATGAGATTTGATTATAGTGGTGAAGGCCTCGTGCAGGACCAGCCACACTTTTTGGAGGGACGAATACAGAAACCTGGTGCACCGAATGCATGCTACAAGGTTCCCAAACGACCCTCCGCAGGTTTTGAATTCAGAGTTGTCCATCTCCTAGACAAGGCTATAGAACCCAGTCTGTCCTGCTATTTTACCCATAGCTGGAGGGAGATGAAGAGGATACATACCTTTCCCAAGGGTATTAGCACGTAAGTGAATGTAATGGATTCGACTGGAATATATGTGTGTGTGTGTGTGTGTGTGTGTGTGTGTGTGTGTGTGTGTATTTATTTAAGTTTATACACTGTAGTTAAAAATAAACGTTGTTACAACTTTTAGAAAAAAGAAAAAGAAAACATCTATCATCGAATAAAAATAAATAATATGAAACCTGCTTAGCTCGTAAATTTCCCCGGTCGGTCCATGAAGAAATGGCAGTATCCGATGATGAAAATTTGTTAAGTAACACGTTGACACATAATTTGTTTCGGCGCTATCTTATATACATATTCCGGGAAATTTCGTAACTTTCTTCTTACTTGACTTTTAATATCTGTCTTTATTTCTTGGTAACTAGATCACTTTCATATCTCATCAGAGTAAAAGGTTTTCTGGTAACATGACGACCACCCGCCGTTTAACATCACTTAAGCTCAGGGTTACTTTCGGGGAGCCGATTCCATCGATTTGACCATGGTCTCTATGAAGTATAAGTTTATAGAAATATATTCATTTCCATACATTTTACCACATGCCGATACTTACAAGACATCTTTGTAAATCACGATTCATTGCAATATAAATTCTAATACTCATCATTTTCTTCATTTTTATATTCACCCCAGAATTTCAGTAGGCATATTATATGTTGTTTTGGTCGAAGCTCTGAGATAAAGTTATTTCTTAAACTTTCTAACTGTTATCTTTATCTTTGTTTTTTTTTAGCTTGTGCTTGCGACAGTTAATTTTGCAACCTTCTTATATCGGATTTTCCGAGATTAATTTAACCATATTACTCAGCTTCAGTCATCTGATTACTCCTGGTCTGGCATCTCGTCTTCAGTCACATTCCACCGCAGTAACGAAGCTTCCCTGCACCTTTTTTATAAATATTTTCATGGCAATTTTTCTGATGAACGCCCATGTATAGTAAATATTCATTGGGGATTCATTTTTAAATGTCCATATTTACATTCGCCTCCTCAGACAAATTTAACACAGGTTTCAGTATTCGCGGTTTTACACATTCGAGGATTTTTCTTTAGAACATATGTACTTGTTATTCACGAAAACCCTGAATATTCGCATGTTTTTTTCTGAAGAACGTATGGACAAATCTTTCGCTGAGAACTCCCTTGATTCACATATTTTTTTTGATAGAACATATTTAAAATATTCCTGTATTATTTTCCTGTTATTTAACTGACTTAAAACATATAACAGTCATTGTATGGTAAAAATTGGCAGAATTGTACATCTTCATTATAAAGAAAA